TGTAGCTTCACAGTGCTGTTGTTGCTTCCAAGTCATCGTACGACTGTTTCATAACTATCAGCTGTTCTTCGAGTGCGGCGCAACGTAATGTTTCGGCAGCTAACTTTGCTTCTGTTGTTTGGTCTATGGGTTGGGTCGATCCCTCATGACTCGCTTCTGCAGCTAGTGCGTATTTGGCCAAGAGGTATTTCAAATGTTTGTTCTTCTCTCTCAGTATATGGGATTCAGTCTCGTACTGAAGTGCTAGCTTGGAAAGACGGCGATTTTCTGACGACTTCTCACGTAATTTAGTCATGAATTTTTCTGGAACATTGATATTCTGATCATTATCTCCTGTTTCAGAACTGGTGCATGTGTCATCTGTTTTGCCTTTCTTGTGCTCCTTATTTTTAATTGTTGTTTTCCTTTTACTGCCTCTTTCTGCAGCAGATGTGTCCTTGTTGAAGAACGCAGTTTCTTCTTCTGTCTGAGTGAGTGCTGACTCGTTCACTTCATCGTTGTGGATGTCTCTGATGGCTTTATGCTCCAGCGCTGTCGCCAGTGTTTTCAAATTCCACTTCTGGAACCTTGGGAAAGCATCAACGATGATTGGTTCAATGATATTTATCCTCTCGCACATCCACAACTGCGGAAACAATCTAGTGTTAGAAATGGATTGCATGTTAGATATTAATATACTATTAAGATATTATAAATATCATATAAAGACAATATAAATATACTATCTAAACAAAATAAATATACTATTAGTTTACAGTACTATACTATATGGATATAATGTACACTATGTTTCAAATCAATATACGAGCTTGCATATTACAAATGCATGTTAACTATGTACACTAACAAAAATACTATTATGCAGAGTTGATCACCATTTAATGTATATATAACTATGCAAACATACCAACAATAGTGTTGTGCATCCACGGACTAATGATGGTTCTGTTTCCTGCACATATTTCATCAGGAATTCGACGATGTAACCTACCCAATTGTAATCAATGAGTTTGTACAGTTCATCACACAGCTGTACCATCCACCAGCTGACTTGGTCTCCGGAAGTTGCAAAAAAACAGGATGTAAGTACATGGAGTATGATTATACGAACCACATCTTCGTCATCCCTACTGTCAATGCATTCCAGCATTTTAGGCTTCAACATCCCCAACCGTATTTTTTCTACGTCTCTAAATTTACGATTGGTTAGACCGAATTCTAGTTTGGTGGTTCTGCGAATACTTATGCTTTTTTCACCTGATTTGATGCCGAATATGAGATTGCAATCCTCCTCTGTGACGCGCAATTCTCTTCCTCCAATCTTGAATACTCTGTTCTCTTTGTTGTATGTTTTCAATATGAGGACTGTGCCTATTTGTGTCCCTGTGACTTGCGAGATGGATATTTCATGCTTGGCAAACGGTAAAATTAGCCGGTAGAATGGCGTTCTTTTGAGGCATTTGTAGTGCGCTTTTCGCAGACTGACATTTGCGAAGAAGTCTACTGTTGAGTGTAGGCTGGATCGGAATTGTCGGGTCCAGCTGCCTTGGTCTAGTTCTTTTTGTGCCATTAGGTTTGATTCGGCTGTAAAGTACGTAAAATTGTGTAATTATGAGAAACATAAAATACGCAACAAATATTGATAACAATTAAACATATCATAGGCATACATTTTCACAGCATACACATAACTACACAAGCACGCATAACTAAAACTGCAGTGTAGTTAAGCGACCAACAATTCATTTCTAAAGTAATGGTATATTAATACTCGTTCTACAATTAATATATAGATTCATAACAACACAAATTTTATATTAGCATACTATCTCAATTCATAACATTTCGATCTGAATTTCTTCTAAATAACATCTCATTGTAACAACGAAATAACACAGCATGCTGTCAGACTATTATAATAGACCCTTTACATAAAGCTCAAACCAAAGGGGTTAACCAAACAAATACACTTGAGTCGAGTTTCAACTCATCTAACTTTAGATTAACACAAAATCGTACATAAAACATATTTTACATTTTTACTGCACAACTCAAGTATCCTGTGAGATTTTTCATTAAAAGACAAACATAAAACCCAAAAATTCCCAAATTAACCTCACCTCAATTGATTTATACTCAAAACCTACAAAATTACTTCCTCACAGAGTCAACATTTGATCTCTTCTGATTAGAGCAGTGGACATAACATTTTTTTTAACTGAGACTCCATCACTGTAAAAAAAATATTAATAAAATAAAATTAGAGAGAAAAAATGTGCTCAACATACGTCCAAAATTGTCAAATATCGACAGATGTTCAACAATAATTCTAGACCAGGAACTTATCTACAATTAATTAATGGTAAAAAGTTAAAACAAGCTAACAATCGATTGGACTGACTCTCAGTATTACTTCAATTTTCACGACGATTAAAAAAAATCAAAAAAATTCAAAAGTGTAATGAGTAACTCACCAGTTTATTGCCCCATCAAGAAGTGATTCATTTAGCTTGTTGGATTATAGAGCTTGGAAAACAGAGTGAAGAAGAAACGGAACTTTCAGTATTTGACAAACCCGACATTTTGAGGCTTGCCCATAACCGAGTCTAAGCTGCCATTGTACAGACCAAGATTTCGTGCTACAGCAAATCCAGCATGCATTCCATCAACTGCAGCACTCACTATTCCACCGGCATATCCTGCACCTTCACCCACTGGATACAGCCCTTTTAAGGAGGTGCTCTCCCATGTATCACTTGTTCGAGTTATCTGGATTGGAGAACTAGTTCTCGTCTACAACAAGGGAAACAAAAAAAATTTAAATATTATATTCTTGAATTCGTTTTTCACTCGGTACTTATTCGAATTGTCAAAAGATCCCTCCTGTTTTTTTTATTAGTATAAACCCCTTTTATGGTGTAATATTAACGCGTGAAAATCTGCAATGTGCCTACTAATCTGAAGGATGGTTAGTTTTTGATAATATAAGTTATTTGATTCACGAAACGAAAAAATGATTTTAAGCAATTGGCAAACCGGGAAAGTATAGTACCTCCACTCCATGAAGAAGGGCACTGGTGGAGACAAATCCCGGCAACTGTAAGCTCGACAATGGTAATTTAAAAATTAGAAAAGAAAAAGAAAAAAAACAGAGAAGATACGGCCTTTTAACATTTCAGTTTAGAAAGTGAAATATCATTGAAGAAAGATTAGAATAAAACCTCTTTTTCGAACGTTGAAAGTGCGCGCTGTAAAGCTTCAGTAATCTGAACAGGAAATAGCTCATGAAGATTTGAAGCCTTTACACCTAATCGATAGCTGGATTCTGGCACAGGTGTTCCTGCGAAATAAAGCCAGTTCAGATTAGTCTTTAAGAATTTAGATACTGCACAAGGAATTTAACCTCGAGGTAGGAAAAAAAAAAACGATTTTTTTTTATACACATGTATATAAATTGTGTTCCACCTGACAATCTGTTGCACAGAAAATCAGCAGCTGTTTGCACAGGAACCACAAAGTTGCCACCACCCATTATAGCTGCTTTTCGCTCTAATGTTCTCTGAGAGTAAATTAATAATTAAAAAACAAAATGGAAGATATGAGCAAGATTTAGATAAAAACAAGTTACATATAAACACAAAAGTACCTGAAATTCAACACCTGCTAGAGGCCCACTCAAACTTAAAGCGTCGAAATCTTTTGATGACACAGTTACTACAAGTGCTGCATTTGCCCACCGAGATGCACGCCGAGAAAATGACATACCATTTATACAAAGTTCCGATGGATCTGTGCTGGTGAGGACCACCTGCATAAAGTGTTTACTGAAAAATCATTTTTTTTTTTTTTGAATTCTCTTGTTTCTTGGAACCCCTAAATATAATTTTTTTTTGGACTAATACGTACTCGTTTTTATGATATACACGTAATTAAGAAAGAGGGTTAATATATACCTGGCCTCCAGGACACATGCAAAATGAGTAACAACTACGACTCGTTGGCTCCGAAATTGAGGGTGTATCCTTAAATTTGTGATTGACATACTCAGCAACCTGGTAATCTGCTACGGGTACTTTTCCACGTCCACGTTGAACCTCTCTTGCTAATTCCGAATACTGCATAATTGTACACATACATCTGATTAATCGGCAAATCACAATTTGTCCTTTGAAAACACTTTGTAGGAATAAAAAAGAGAATGAAATTCTTGTTTGTAATAGGCATCAATTTTTCAGAGGCGGTACGAGCACAAAATTCCTAAAATATGTCCAATGAATCCACATATGTAGTTCTCCCTCATGGCAACTTGATTGAAACTTTGATTCTCCACAATCTTATTTTGTTTCCAAGGAACATACCAACTTGCATCTCTTTATACTACTAGTAGTGGAATATCTTCGATCACTAAATAAATATACCCTCACACCAACTTGACAAAAAAAAAAAAACCATGTAAGATCGTTCCGAAACTACTTAGTCTTCCTAAGTAACTCTTTAACTATATCAATTAATAAGTGATATGTTTCATTGTTGTACAACTCAACTAGTTTAATGATCCGACCAAATTCATAGACATTGGCTGCAATTTGTGTTAAGAAATAAATTTTATTAGGAAATTATCTAAACTTGGCGTATGAGAAATTACTTTAGATCTACATTCCAGTAATAATCCTCTGAATAAGGCTTTTTTTTATTTTTTTTCTGTGTTCTCTGAATAAGTTTCTTCGTTGTTGCCTACAGGCCTAAGACCATGGATCTAATTGCAGATGGAACTTTAATCTTCTTTCTCATATTTATTTCCTATGAAGCAATTAAAATAACAGTAGAAAAACCAAAATTTGACGTAAACGAAGCCGCCAAGAATGTTCAAACAGTCCTTTATTAAAGACATTTAGTTAAGTGAAAAATTTCCCCACTTCTATTAAACTAGTTGACGAACCTGTATATCGTTTATCAGTTCCTGGGGATGTTCTATCCGCAGGCCAACCTGCCAAGTTAAAAGAAAATATATTCCAATTAACAAAATTAAAACCCGAAAATGAAACTGAGTAATCAAATGGCAAGTACAATGTCTGATGAAGTACCATGTTTATAAACACTAGTAAGATTAATCCTTACAACAGAAGTAATTAGATGATGTGCAATTACACTGCCAACAAAAAGATACTTTGGTCTGTTTCAGACACTCTTTATGACAATATTCCCTGAAATGTATGCTTCTGTTCTTAAAAGTCCGCTCACTCTTGAGAGTAATGACGTGACATTATTAACATTCAAACCACCTTTTTTTTATGGAAATAGTAAAGTATACCGAAATCTCCAACCTTTTCAACTTTGTTTCAGGTCAACATGAATACATAAAAATGAGGGCAAGGAAGTATAGTTAGCTTTGTTTGTTAATTCCGGAATAACTAATTCGAAAAACATAAATCACTACTAATACAAGGCAAAAGATGCACAAGGACCAAAACAAAACCCTTTTTTCAATTATTATTAAAAAGAAACTCACAGCGAAATCTTTTTGAACCAAGTCGACATTATGAGAAAGAAGCATTTCATAAGTGTCTCGTGCAGAATGCCCCACAGCAAGAACTACAGCATCGTATTCCAATTTCTGGCTACTAGACTCACTGCTGCCTCTTGAATCAGAGATTTGAACGCCTGTAACACGTTCATCCTTTTCCAGCAGATCATCTACCCTCGTCCCGAATCTGATAGTTACCTAACCATATACATAAAAGAAAAAATAAAAAAGAATAAGAAGAACATACAAGCACTGACACCTGCTATACACACAATAATACTAAGATTGGTTTATAGATTCGCACAATCCATAATGTTACTCACACCCGACTCTTGCAGGTATTGACGAAAGTTTCTTAGTAGTGGAATCAATCTGTCAGTTCCCAGATGAGGTTTCCCATCGACCAATATACTACATGGAGCTCCAAACTGAACCAATGTCTTCAGAACCTACACATGCAAAAGATAAACTATAAAATATGTTTTTCCCGACATATAAAATGTAGAAGCAAGACCTATGTCGTAAGAACCTAAAGAATAATTTAGGGGTGGCAATCGGACGGATCCAACCGAAATTAGCACCATCGGAAAAAATGTGATATATATATATATATATATATATATATATATATATATATATATATATATATATATATATATATATATATATATCTCTAAAAATAGAGAGAAATCTTGTTCCAAATATCTATATATTTTGGATCGGACACAATACAGTTCAGAAAATTTCGTGTTTTTATGTATGAAGTACATAAAAATATAGATATTGTACGCATAGTTTGTGGGAAGAAATAAAATGGAATTCTCAGATATATTTTTGGAATTTCAAATTGGATTAGAAATTGGAATCTCGTATATTCCAATTCCCATAAAAATCGGAAAAGTTGGAAATGGGAATTCTCGGAATTCGGAATGAAAATATTGTTACAAACTCGGGAAACTTTGGATCGGGATCGGCGGAAATCGGAAATTCCGCTCAAATTCACAACCCTACTAAAGACGCAAAAGATCAATTCAGAAGAAATGCAGCATTGTAACTTGTAATTAGTAATAATGAAAAGATGAACAAAATACGCAAGAGAAGGCATTAGATGGTACAATAAGATAGTAACACTTACTGATGTCACACTACTATTGTTTCTCCCAATTCTTGTAACCAGCTTCCCATCACTCCAAGTACCTGCACCACCCTGTCAATCATAAGTCTTTAATAAATTGAACAGTGGCATAGAATACAGTGAAAATTTTAAGAAGTTAACGAAATACATTTAGAAGAAACACAACTTTGCAAATACTATGTAATTTGCTCAATTCATGACGAAACTAATTTAGTTGTTACTCTTTTTCTACACTAACCTCACAAATAAGGCACCTTTCGACATAATAAAATCAAGGAAAAATAATCCATGACACAGGAAAGACCTTGAATTACAAATTGGATAAAGATATGACCTCTCCAAAGCAAAAATTGCTTTCCAGCTGTAACATTCGACGGACTACCAAAGCACCAATATCGCGTCCTCTTTGTTCAACCGCTTGCCCTCTTTCCACTAGTGTAACATCCGCACCAAATTCAGCCAGCACGAGAGAAGCAAACAATCCTGAGGGTCCACTACCAACAACTACTACTTTCGGTTTTCTTGTGGGAGATAATTTAGAAGCTCCCATTTCGTTATTACTCTGCATAACTTTCTCAGAAGATGCATCTTCTTCGTCTATTGTCCGGTGATTGCGTATGACACTCATCAAATCGCCCGAAACACTATCGTCTTGCAGAAACTCCAAACTCCCAGTTTTTGGCTCCAGTTCAGAAATGAACTCCCGCGTATGAGGCACAAGGCTTACGAGTTTTTGCACATCCATATCCACGGTGTGTACAAACTTGGGCTCTTTCTGCAATTCATTAGAGTAAACAGAACAATTAGTTGGTCTGTAAATCTTTTGAGTTAAACTAATAGTGTTCGATTCAAAAAAGACTATCACAAGCACTATATAAGACTTTTTATATGAAAATACATACTCAAGTGCAATACAAGTAGTAACCATCACTTTCATTAAGTGTAGAGGAAAATATGAAACAATACACCACTGTCTACTGTATTCTAGTAATTTATGGAAGTTTGAAATCAATATTTTCCTACGATTATCAGACAACGTGTCCATACGGCATAGGCTGAATTATTTTGAAGGAAAATATAGCTTATGGATTTAGAGAAGACTAAGATTAGTTCATTTAGTTAATTACATCATCAACCAGTGTTATTTAAGGTATTACGAAACTTTTTCCATTGGCAAGCAAATGTTGTTAATATTTATTTGACGTCGCAATTATTGTTAGTGTATGTATTGGAAAATGCTAAGACCATCACCAAATCTCAGTAAACTTATTATACTACTCTTGCATGTGACAGGATATGAGTGTAATATATCAAGTATGAGTGCAAGGGATCGTAAAGTTTAAGTTACATGCAATGTTTCACCAATCTAAAGGGTTAAATTGTAATTTTCCTCGTGCCATACCAATTTATACTTTTTTTCAAGTTTATGCTACTGCAGCATGACCAGATATATATATATATATATTTTAACGTTATGATTACTGTTTGAATTATGTGTGACTATGTGTGTATGAGAATATATATATATATATATATATATATATATATATATATATATATATATATATATTTTAACGTTATGATTACTGTTTGAATTATGTGTGACTATATGTGTATGAGAGTATATATATATTTTAACGTTATGATTACTGTATATTTTAACGTTATGATTACTGTGTGTGTGTGTGTGTGTGTGTGTGAGAGAGAGAGAGAGAGAGAGAGAGAGAGAGAGAGAGAGAGAGAGAGAGAGAGAGAGAGAGAGAGAGAGAGAGAGAGAGAGAGACATTGGAAGCAAACTTCAGCCAACATTAACATGGTCCAAGCAAAAATTAAATAATAAAAAATTATCAAGGTATTAGTAATTATCGTAACTAAGATGAGGCGGTGTAATAGCTTCATTAAAATATCAACACACTCAAGGTAAAACTTTGATTTCTTTAAAAATGAGAAGGGAGGATTTGGTTATCACACAAACTAGGAGAGGTGGCAGTGTAAATTCTTTTATACAAGGGCATTCTAGACCTTTTGCAGGTTTCGACTATTGACATGCTAACCTCTTTCTCCTACAACCGATGTTGGTTATCATCGTCAACCTCTTCGTAACGTTTTTTTATTACAACTTCTTTCAATTGTCCCAAACTCCTATTTTACTTAAGCACACAAATTAGTCAACTAATATATTTGAATAGGGTATGGTGGTCTCTTCACAAAGACAAATTAGGAAGTTCATCAAATTTTGTCAATTCAACTCAGTACAGACAATGAACAGCATATTCTGTATTACCTGTTTATTGTAACAACAAGATAGACACAACATTATTATGTATCAAAGGATTACCCACAATTTCATACGAAGAATCTCTCAGGTTTTGGAAGCTGGGTCCACTAGCGTAATAATTCTTTTTCCCTCTTCTAACAATTAGCAAATCACTTAGAATTCAACACAACATAATCAAAGACAATCAAAGACACACGCCTGCAAACTGATATATTAGGAATAATCTTAAAAATCATTTTCAGAATCCGTAATACTACGCCCCGGATAAAGTCGTCTTAATCATCTTACCATCTTAAGGCCATTGAATTAGATTCGCTCTGTAAAAATAATCCCCATATATTTATTATCGACCCTCTATAAATTCCGCTCCGCACCTCTATGAAAGTTCATCACATTAACCTAGTATAATATTTTTCGGCCGTGTTTCAAATATTTCTACTCCCAAATCATGACTCGTTCCCTTGATATGTTGAAAAACTTTCCATCCAAAAATGCAGAGATCAATGAAAAGGCCGAAGAAGATTCAGATGGTGATCCATCACTAGATTTGAGTCTATCCCTTGGAAAAATAGATCCAAATCCAGTTGCAGTTAATTCAACAGAGCCTCCTCCGCTCGATGGGCATGTGGTACAGCATGAGGAGAGAGAATATTCGTGCAACTATTGCCCAAAGAAGTTCTCCAACAAGCAAGCATTAGGCGGACATCAAAACGCCCACAAAGTGGAGAAGGTCGTGGCGAAGAGTGCAATGAAAGGGCATGAAAGCAACTACGGATATGCCGGTTACCAATTCTGTAACGGCATCCCTTTTCCTAGTTCTTTCAATCAAGCACCCGAAAGAGCTATCAACCCTTTCTCGATGAATGCCCCATACTACCCTCAATACATGCAGCATCAAATGCATGCCCCTGCTTACCCAATGTTCCCCATCTTCCATGAACCTCAACTACTTCATACAAATCCAGATTTTACTTCATACCTTCCATATATGGGACAGGGTCCAAGTACTTCAGAGGGAAACTTGAGCGCTGACGCAAATAATGAACAAGATGAGGAGCAGCCCCCTGAAGAATTAGGGCCTGACTTGTCACTAAAGCTTTGATCATTGAGTGTCTTGTTTGTTGTTTTATTGGTCTATTAAATCTATAGATTTAGGCCTGGTTTTTTTAACAGTTCATGTCCTTCTACTCCTTATTTGCACCGGGATTTTATTGGTCTATTAAATCTATAGATTTAGACCTGGTTTTTTTAACAGTTCATGTTCTTCTACTTCCTTATTTGCACCGGGATTTTAAATTTTAGAAAAAATAAATAAAGTTTTCCATTGTTTAATTAGTTGATTGGTTTGAATATACTCCAACAGGGTACATTGATTCTTGACTCACATTAAATCGATAGCAAATCTCCAAATAATTTATATGAATATAACTGTATGAAAATATTAAATTTATAATAAACAAATAGAGACATTTACTTTATCATTTAATAAACATACTCCTATGTTTTTTTATATTTAAACGTATCCAACGTTCATGTGTCCTATTTTTTTCTTTTTTTGTATAAATGGTGTTTCCCCGTACCTGCTTTCGAGTATCTTTCTGTCTGCGTTTCGGTGTCTGTACTATATTTTATTGATATGTGGATTCCTTTACCTTACTTATTGAGGCTATCAACTCCAAATAAATTCCATCTATTTGCTTTGTCAAAGCAGAAAACACTAATCCTTGTCTATGTTAATTATTTTCAGGATTAAGAGACGACAAATCATAAGAACTTGAAATAACAAGATTTCATTAAATCAATGTAGAAACAAACTATTTCAACTTGGTTCTATTCAATACACACTAGCAATATATTGTTGATTGAAGCAACATAGATCTAATAGGAGATGTTATAAGGCCATCTCCAACAGTTTGTCTAAAAACGGTTGTCTATATCTATATTATACACAATGAACAGTGTTTTAGCACTTCACTTTTAACATTGCACTCCAACAATATTGTTTATATTTTACACAATTATAATATTTAATTATTTTTATTAAATAATTTCTACATGATATTCAATTATTATTAAATATTAATAAAAATGTGTATTATTCTAAACAATATATTTATATGTTGAATATTTAATAATTTTTGTTTTACAAAATTATTTGACTTTTATTTTAGTTAATATACTAATAACTAATAATACTAATTAATAAGTATACAAAAATAATTTTAAA